CATGGTTCCAGGGTTTCAGGGTTCTCGATCTCAATTTAGGGGCTTTTGTAAAGGTGTATTGAGGGTTTAGGGGTTACGTAGGGTTGAGGGCTTATTGAGGGTTTGGGTTTGGAATTTCCACGGTTGTGTTTCAGGCATGTTAGTCTTGCTCCTGAGGCTTCTCCGGCTCTTCTTCTTCTTGTCTATGCCGTTGTTGGTCTCATGCTTTGCCCCAAACCCTAGACCGCCTTGAACTCTAGAAAACGCTTGAGGGTTTCGGCTATACAGGTTTCGTTCCAAACTTGCCGACTCGATCCTTCCATCCTAGGCCCCTAGAACCCAGAAGCCAAAGTTCAGAAACCCTACAATTTAAATCCTAAACCTGAAACCCTAGACCTTGAACCCTGAAGCCTAAACCCTAGACCTTGAGCCCAGAGCCCTGAGCCCTAAACCCTGAACCTTCAACCCTAAGGCCCTGAAGCGAAGCGTCCTAAGCATTGAGCCCGACCCCAAGCATTGCAGCATAGCAGCAAGCTGAAGCTCTTAGTCGCCAAGGATCCGCTCCCTTTCAGCTTCGCCCAGGAACTTTGAATCCTAAGCCCTCAGCATTAAAACATACACCCTCAGCCCTAAAATCTACAACCTAAGGCCTAACCCACAAACCCTAAAGCCGATAGCCACCTTACATCTTCGCGTAGGAACGGGACCTTCTCCGTGTTCCACTACCACGGCCAGAAGTTGGCACTCCCGGAGGAGCAGAATGCGACCGTGGACTGGTACACTTGACTGTATGGGTTGATATACATCTGAGCGCAGAATAAACAAGCAAAGGAATAACGTAGACAAGCGAATCTATTTATAACAAATAGATGGGGAGATACTGGTTTAATTTAACCAGCATGTAAGAAGGAGGTAAAAATGTAGGTAGTGCGTGTGTGTGTGTATATATATATATGTATATATTATAACAAGCACATAACTACTCAATTGGATGGTTAACATGTAAAGAAGTTCACAAAGCGTGTACGTACATTCGATAATGCCAGGAGGGGAAATAAGTAATGTAAGCAAGTAAATACATGGATAGATGAATCGATGCATGGATCAATATACAACTGTACCTACCTACCTGCCTACCTGCCTGCCTGCCTGCCTGCCTGCCTGCCTACCTGCCTACCTGCCTACCTGCCTATCTGCCTACCTGCCTACCTGCCTACCTGCCTACCTGCCTGCCTACCTGCCTACCTGCCTACCTGCCCACCTGCCTACCTGCCCACCTGCCTACCTGCCTACCTGCCTACCTACCTACCTACCTACCTACCTACCTACCTACCTACCTACCTGCCTCCCTGCCTACCTGCCTACCTACCTACCTACCTGCCTGCCTACTTACCTACTTACCTACTTACCTACCTACCTACCTACCTACCTACCTACCTACCTACCTACCTACCTACCTACCTACCTACCTACCCAGCTACCGACCTACCTACCTCCCTTTACTTGCCTACTGCCCACCTGTACCTACCTACCTACCTACCTACCTACCTACCTACCTACCTACCTACTTACCTACCTTCCTACCTACCTACACCTACTTACACCTACCTACCTGCACCTACCTACTACCTACCGACCGACCGACCGACGGACCGACCGACCGACCCACCGACCGACCGACCGACCGACCGACCGACCGACCGACGGACCGACCGACTGACAGACCGACCCAGACCGACCGACCGACCGACCGACCGATCGACCGACCGACCG